ATTTTTATCCACAATTTTTTATAGAACAGGTGATTCCAAACTAGTTTTGGAGAATTCCACTCCTCATCAGTGACCCTGAACATTACCACCAATGAAAGAATTAAATTGTGGTGGAATGCTACAAGTTCTTCAATTACCTATAGAATGATAGGTTAATTTTTTTGTGAGTATAAAACACTTAAATATACCATTTCGAAATATCAGATACGTTTTTGGCAAATCTATACATTTTATCTCGTTTTCCCTACTATAACACTAACTATAGCAAAATCATCAATGTACATTGAAATGGAAAGTTAAAAAACATGAAAAAAAATGAATAACACAAATTTTTCCTCAGCACTGACTGCAGTATTGATCACAATTGATAAGACTAGGGGCACAAATATAAATTATTTCAGGGTAGAAATAATCTTCAGCTAAGACAATTTCATTTTACTAAAAGGGTGATAGGCTTTTGGAATGGGTTGTCTTCAGATGTAATGGATGTATTAAATGTAAGGGAGTTTCAAGGAAGGTTTGATAGATATTTAAATGATCAAAACTTGATGTTGAGTTTTTTTGTTTTTTTTTAAGTAGATGTGACAGTCTTGATGTTATTAAATGTTATGCTTTTTTTTTACCTGCAATCATTATATTTGTAAATACATCTTAAAATTCCACTAGCAACAGAACACTGCTTTAATGATGTGAATGACATATCCATTGCTGTGCCAAGATCCTTTTCTTCATTCACACATTGAGTTGATTTCCAAATTAAGATAACCTAAATGCTTTCACTTTCTATGATTATTTGATAAATATTTGGCCACCGTACCAGTTGGTACATGTCATTCTGTGGTACTATACCTACCTCAACATTCATAATATGGCTAGAAATACCAAAGTATTTAATGTAAGCAGCAAACTTTACTAATGTACCAATAATATCATTAATATGAATAATCCAAAGCAGAGTCCCAAAAACTGACCCCTGAGACTTTCCCCTTGTAATAAGGATCCAGTTTGACTGAACTCCAGTAATCGTAACCATTCAATTAACTGGTTTTTCTCAATCCCTATGGATGGGATTTTCTTAGTTAATCTTATTTCGTGGCACCTTATCAAAAACTTTTTAAAGATTGTAATGAACGAGTCTTTTCATCTAGATAAGGAGTAATGTCTGCAAAAAAGAGATAACAGATTAATGAAGCATAATTAAGGCATAGTAGACAAGTTTATCTGGAAACTTCTAAATATGTATAGATTGTAATGTATTAGATTGATGCTTCATTTTCTTAAATAAAAATATGTATTAGGCTGCTAGTAAATTTTCAAGATTGTTTTGTTCTCAGTTTACTGTCATTATACTTAGATATTTTTTAAGCATTATTTAATTAAATGTGTTAATAGAATGGTTTGGAGTGCTATTCATCCGTCAAGGGCTTTACCAAGGAGGAGTATTTCGTTTCACTTTGTACATGCCAGACAATTATCCTGATGGGGATTGTCCAGTAGGTGGTCAGTTTTATCTTTTGGATCATTAGCGTTATAAAGATATACAAAAATGTTTTTAAGATGTTTTTGTGTGTTGTTTTCTTTGTCTTATTGCATACTAGAACCTTATCAACAAGAAATGAAGATAATAGTTTGTACTTAATGCATTTTAGAAAATGTTAACAAAATTGTACAAAATCTGACATTAAGAAAAATTAAACAATGATATTAAAAAAAAGGCCAAATGCCCTAAATAGATCTCTACCAAAAAATATTTTTTAATGTAGTAATTTATTAATTGTTAAAAGATAATTTTTTTTTGTGAATCAATCACTTTTCCTTAAATACCTGGTCTTAATATCTGTAACAATTATACAGATTAAACAACCTAATCCAATTTTAGCATCAACTTTAAACATTATAATTTGCTTTTTATTCTTCAAAATTTCTAAGAAACATATGTTTTCTTATAGGCTTTTTACTACCACATTTGACACTTACATGAGTTAGATTGTACCTATAGGTATTGTTTTCTTTTATATTGGTTGCATAATTTCGTCTTTAAAACGACCATTCTCATAACTTGCAAAAGAAAAAATTAAAAAGGGAGTATAAGAATGATGAAATATGAACAATAGATAAGCAAGAATTTTCCTAGAGATTAACATCCTTGGTTTCAGTGAAAATATATTCTTGTTGCATAATTCTTTTATATTTTCTTTGCATAATGATAATAGATTACATTATTAACATTACAATAAACTTAAACACTTTTATTGCTATAAATTTTCTATAAGATTGTACTACAAGTGTTGTTAACTAACATAAATCAACTTACTAGTACAAAGTAACTGCAATAGCTAAAACACTGACTGGTTCACATTCTTTCTTGAAAAACTATCCACTATCTTAACTACCTTGTATATATATCATAAATTTTTGAATATACTGCATATTGTTACATCACATCTTTAGAACTACCTATATCATTAAATCTTTTGATCTCAACATTATCAATAAAATCTGCAGCTCCATCTAACTAACACTCAAATTACAACATTAAACATATAGCTTATAACAGTACATTTTGAGCTGCAGTATTTTCTTTAATTTAAGTAAAGACTTCTGTATGCATTAGCTACAAAATTACAACACTGCATTAGTGAACATAGAATAAGTTTAGCTGTTAAGCCTAAGGTGCAATCACTAAATGTTTTTCTGCGGAAGGTTTTGTATTAAACATAAAGCTCTCAGAACTTTAAAATTACTTTTCCTTTGTAATTTTAGAGAAAATCATAAATAATGAACACTAGTTACCTTGTAAACATTTAGAATTCGTTAAAAACTCTTTCTTTTATACTTATAAATTGAAATTCAAATATATTTTGTAATAAAATTTGATCTCATTTTGTTACAGCTGATAGTTTTTGAACCACCAGTTTTTCATCCTTTGATAAATATTGAAACTGGAGAATTAGATGTAAAGAGAGGTTTTCAGAAATGGAGGTTAGTTTAAGATACAGCAATTATTATTGTTTTACTAATTGAAAATACTTCCATATCAGACACTAAAGAACATTATTTAGATCTAGATATTAAGGTAATTAATATTTTTGATAAAATAAATGATTTCAAGTATATGGACTTCCCTCATCAAATACATGCTATACAGAATATTATACATTCACAACTTCTTAGATACTGTAAAATTTGCAGCAATATATAATTCTTAACATCTAATATGAATATATTTGTACAAAAATTGATTTTGAATGGTTTTGATGATAAAACAATATAAAATATTTAATTACTGTTTTATCATCAAAACCATTCAAAATCAAGTAAATATAAAAGCTACTTATGTAATTCTGAAACAATAATTCACCTATTTACACAGATATGCTATTTCCTATGCCCATCTGCCTATGAGATTTGCATGCCACTAGCCTTGAGCAAATTCCTACTTAAATTCTTATGTTTAACATGAACTGTGCTGGTGCATGATGACATAATCATGCAATGATAACCCTCCACCAACAGCAGGGTGACACAATCTCCATGCCTAGTAACTCCCTCTATGCACTTGCACTCGTGATAACTTCATTCTTTTCTTTGGCATTGAATTGAACAGATGTGTTCAAATTTCACACTTGACTTCAATTTGATGAGATTTATATTGGTTAATGAAACCTTTATTTTCTTTTCTATAGTTTTTGTTTCAAAAGCATTGATTATTATTTTGAATTCTCAACTGATTGTAACTGATATTTTGTGATGATGCCACACACGTAGGCCTTATTTCTACTATGGGTTCTGGAGGCTTGTTAACTGTTGGGGATGTTGTAGCCTTTGTTCAACATGCTGTGGATTACTACAGGCTAACTGGGTCTTTTACTCCAGTCCCTTCAGCTGATGTTTTTTCTCCCAGTCAGGTATTACTTATTGTATTACGATTGTAACCTGGTTTGTTTTAGGTAGTTCCTTACCATTTGGGGAATGATCTTAACCTTCCAGTCTCTTCTGGATTTCATTCTCAGATATGTTCCTTTCCTAATTGTTTGTCTTGACTTGCAGACATTCTTCCTTTCTAGATTCTCTGTCTTTGGTATATATTTGGTCTGTTTTGGGATCAGGCCCCTTGCCTTCTATTTTGCTCTTTGGTTCCCCCTTTTTCCATCTTTATCTTTTTCTCACCATCATGCTCCAGAGGAGTTTTCTGTAGAAGTTTATTCCCTTCTCTTTGCCATCTTAACCAGTTCCACCTCTTCTGCTCTATCTCTCCTTTTTTGTTTCCCTTTGTTAGGACTTGTTGGATCAAGTTGCATTCATTTTTACTGTACCTTTCTCTCCTAATGTTTATGGTCTTTGTCTGGCTCAGACATCTTCAGTGGTGTTCATTTCTCACTGGAGATCTGGATTGAAGTTGTATGAATTCAGTCCTCATTACCTTCTCAAGTTTTTTTTTACTTTCTTGATCTTTCCCTTTGACTCCTATTCCTTGTCTGATCAGTCTACTCCAAACCTTCCCATTCCAGATTCTAGGCCTTCCTTTTTTTTCTTGTCCTTCCAATACCTGACTTCTGGTTCATTGCTCATCTTGACAGTGATTCTACTGTCATGTATGGCACTCTAGGTACCCATCTATTCCTCTTCACTTGCAGTTGGACTCATTTTCTACCAACAGCCTCTCTCTCCTCATTTCTCTTTGCTCCTCTTCCCATTTCCTTTTCTGTTCCTTATGACCACCTGTATGGTCTTTTCATCCGGTCTGCATTTTGCCATGGTCAATGTATCAGACACTTTTCTACGCATTGCTGTTGACCCATCCTCCCTGTGTTTTCTATTTTCTCTCAGATTTGCATCTTTCAATTCTTTGCTGTTCTCTTTGACATAGCATTATCTCTTTTTTGTATTCATTTGTATCATGAGGGCATTTGATTGACATATTCATGGCCTCGGGCTGTAATTTCTTGTGTTTGATGATTGACTTCTGTTAGCCCATTCTTGGTTGGTATCCTCTTCTCACACCTCCATTTCTTTGCAAGAGACTACTCAGTTGGGGTGGCTTGTCACAATATCCAAGTCTTTTCTCATGCCCACTCAATATATGGTACGTACAAGTATTTTTCATCATTTCTCTTTGCCCATGAGCTATGGAGTATCCGGTCGCCAGGTCTTGCACTTCTCATTCTCATTTTGTGTGAAGGGTTCTTTTGCTCTTAAGGATTCTGACTTCCTTTGAACCCCTAATTTCTTAGGGGTATGCACATGTGCATCTCCTCCAATGGACCTTGCAGATCCAAGGGATTCTTTCTTAGGTTCCATTGTTCTTGTTTGTGAACTTCCCCTCTCCCATCCACAAGGACTTTTTATATCCACACTTCTGGCCTTCCATTACCAAATCCCAAACCATTCCTGTCTCTTCACCAATGCTTCCCTCTTGGATTGAGCTGCATCTCTGGATGACATGATTCCTTGCATTTGGATGCAGCATAAGTGTTTAGTCCACCTCAACGTGCTCAAACTTCTCGCTGTTCATTGGGAATGTTCCCATTTCCTGCTACTTCTGGTTGATCAGTCAGTCACAGTCCACTTTGATGTATCCACAGTCATTTCTGCATCTATCATCAAGGGAGCATATATTCCAAATCTCTTTGATTTTGAGCATTGGACCTGTTCTTCTGAGCTTGTGGCAGGCAGCCTGTCTTAGCCAGGCTGTGTTTCTACCCATGGTGTGGTCTCTTCACCCCCAAGTCTTTTGTTGAGATTGTTGTTGTTTCGGCATGTCCCTCACAGACATATTTGCCAACCCTCTCCACTCCAATCTTCATCCCTTCTGGTCCCCTGTTCCTCATCCTTTGGCCCTGGCTGTCAATGCTCTGAACCAGGATTGGTTTCTCCTTTTTTCTATATGCCTCATGCCTATCCTTCTCTTCCACTACTCCCTTGGGCCCTGGACTTGATACATGAAAGTCCTTCTAAAATCCTACTATGGCACCTCCTTGGCCAACTTAATATTGGTTTTTTCTGCTTTTTCACTTGGTATTGACACTCTCCTTCATATACCCAATATCCCTTCACTCTTGCTTCAGTATCATGCATCCCTTTTTCATCAAGGGATATCCCTCCATCTTTATATGTAGAATTTGTCCAGTCCATCAGGCCAGACTCTCCTATCATCTAACATTCTTGTCACATTCCTATCTCCTTCCCACTTTTTCTGTCTATTGATGACTGTGGCAATCTTTCGTTATTGATCCAATTGCCACTCCTTTCCTCCCTGGCTGTCCTACTGTGCCCCATCTTTCTACCTTTCTTAACTGGATATTCGACCATGGTTTGTCAGTCTCCACCATTGCTGGTTATTGGTAAGCATTGTCTGGTACACTTCACCTTTCCCTGGTACTGCAGTTTGTTTTCTTCCTCTGTCCTCTCCACCTGCTTCTGCTCTTTCCCCCTTCACTATCCTCCTTGCTTGATTGTATCCATAATGTGGTTTTGCATGCTTTCATGCATGCCCTATTCAAGCCAATGGCTTTTTACTTTTTGTACTGCTTTTCTCTCACATCTTAATTCCTCCTCCTTATCTGTTGCCACCATTATTTGAATGCTTATGCTATTGATGCTTCTCACACCCTCTACCACCATACTAATACACTCCTCTACTTGGACTGGTATTTCTTTCTTCAGACTTCTGCCACTTGGGATGAATGATAACCTTTCTTTCTCTCCTATTTCCTTTCCTTCTTTTTCTCACTTGTATGATCATTCAGACCCAAATAAGCTCCTGTGTCCTGTTCAGGCTGTTAGGTGTTACTTATCACAAACTTCTTCCTTTTTGGGTCTCTGCCATCTTCTGTTCCTCCCCTGGGACCCTTCTTTTTCCAAGGACCTCTCTTGCACTCTTAATAGATGGATCCATTGACTCCTTTGGTTGGTATATTCTCCTCTGGATGGGGATGCTCACAGGCTATTTAACTTTCTTTGCATCTTATTCATCACCTTTTTCACTTTCTTGTTTCCCATTTTCACTGACCCTAACCTAGGATCCTCCAGGTGAGCATGTAGACGAATTTCTACATGTTCGTCTCTTCACCATCTAGCTATTTCGTCTTCCGCAGGAATACAACTTCTACCAGTCACCATACTTCAGTCAACCCACCATCTTAGAAGTGGGTAAGTTTGTTTCCCTTTTCATTTCTTGCCCCTTGCATCAAACAGAATGCTGCCAGGTTGCTGGTGTTGCCTCCTAGGGTATGCTTATTTCCCAAATTTTGCAATGATCTAGGATAACAGAAGGTTTTCAGCCCATGTATCCTCACTCTACCAGTGTCCACTGTGAGATGAGGTGTTCTGCAAGACCACTTGAGGTGTCCTCAAGGTATACAAATTTACTTTAAATGTTCGATCCAGATTGTACTAATTCCATGGACTATCACGAAAAAAACCAGCACCAAAGAAGTGACTGCCTACTTCTTTGGCTCATGCTTTTAGACTTTTAAAAATAGGGTTTCATGGTCAACTATTGCACTGTCTTCAATTAATGACCTTTCCAGATGGTGGTCTGATGAGGATCAAGGCACTTCTTCCTGTTTCCCCAGTGCAAATTCTCTTTCCCCTCTTTTTCATGTGGAGCATGGAGACCCTTGCCACTTGCCACTTTCTAGCTGGTGGGGAAGTGGACCATTGAGAATCCTTACTGGTTTGGCTCAGTACAAAACCATAAGAAGTAGGGTGGTGGTGGCACTGTAAGTATATTATGGGTCACCCCTCAAACAACTATAATGCCATTCTCCTGCAACCAGACTCTATCTAGTAAGAATCATGCTGAGCACACATTATAAGGTCTGATCATGCCCTAACCACATTACACATATTAGTTCACTGAACACTTATGTGAAGGTGCTCAGTTAGTCACGATCATATTCTGCCCATCCCTGTAACACTTCAGGCTCTTCCTCCTCTCCCTCCTTTGCTGCTCGGGTAAAAAATATGTTGTGGTTGAGACAAGATGTGGTTTCCCATGGTTGTGCCCCTGTGAAGCCCCTGCCAGTGGGTGCTTTCTGAAGGGAACTCATCTAAGTAAAATTTTGCACTGGCCCCTCCACCACTTTAATGTGGGATTGTAGTATTTGTGTGTGGGAGGCGAGTTATTTTCTAGGGAGCTAACATTTTCCTAACCTGAAAATGTATTTGCTATAGATACTGACTTCTGCACACATTCCCCCCCTACCCCCCCCCCCCACTTCTAGTGCAACTTTTTTTTTCCTTGCCTCATCTAAGAATGAAGTTATTGCGAGTGCAACTGTGTTACTGTGTCATGGAGGTTATGTTGCCCTTCTTTTGGTGGAGGGTCATTATCATTATGTACCAGTGCAGTTCACACTAATCATGGGAATTTAGGTGTGAGTTAGCTGAAAACTAGTGTTGTGCAAACTTCATATGCAGATGCACGAGGGAAATAGCATTGATCTGTGTGTGAAGGTATCTATTGGAAATACATTTTCAGATTAGGAAAATGTTAACATCGCAAAATAATGACATAAATTAAATTATTATATGTACAATGAAAAATAATTTCTTGAAACTTATTGGTGGGAAAGGAAATATCAGAATTGCTTACTTGGACATTTTTATATCTTGTATAGATGGACTAATGTAGTTGTATCACCTTACCTACGTAAGACCTTGTTAATATGTGGATATTTTTAGAACCATGGAAGTGATATTACTGGGGAGATCCATTGATGTATAGTAATGTAATTATTATTTCTCTAACTACTTTTTGTTTTCCTAAATGTAACAAGAGAGAAACTGCCTTCCTACTTCTGGCTGCAGACAGCAAAGGTGTTAAAAATATGGGATGTTGTGGGCTTGAGTACACTAATCTGCTTCTTTTCTTTCTTTTTGTTATAAGTGTGCAAGGTCAGCAAAATTGAGGTTAAACCAAATAAGACAGTAGTCCAATACAGTTTAGGTTTTACTTCTGTCAGTACCTCAATAACCAAGACACATTCATTATATAATGATTACCTTATGATTTGTGCCCCAGTGTTGAATGTTTGTTTTGTTGCTGAATTTTATTTGAATTTTGCAATTTTCTTTTTATTTCCTAGAACATTAACTAACTATATAACTTTCTAACTATATTTCACAAAAGATATGGATGTAATCTTTGCAAAGAATTTGTAGCTTAGTTACATAATTAAATGTGTGTCTGTGCAAAATATTAAATTTTTTATTGAAATATTAAAAATAAAGTTACTGGTTTCTGAATTTAGATTTTCATGGAGAATTTAAGAAATAATTAGTACATTAGAGGCTGTTTATGATATGTTTTGTAGGTTTTATTCCATGTGAGGAAGGAATTTTGTTTTTCAGGGGGTCCTCTAATTTCAAAACAAGAAAGCACAGTTTGCTATATATGAATTAATACTGTCTTGAGTAAAAGTACAATTGTTAACTGTTGAAAGGTTGATAGATTTGTAGAACATAAGCATTGGAAACCAGTAAATCATTATCACTAAATTTGTGAATGTAATAATTTTTCCTAATGACCAATACTTTAATTTTTCATTCTTTTTATAGAAGAAATGTCAATCATATTTGGCAAGTAATTCTGTATGCTCGTCGAATCTTCTATAAAATAGAAAATCAAAATCCATTGAATCCAGAAGCATCAGTTTTGTAAGTACATATGCTTTTAATATAAGTAGAAAATCTTGTTACAAACTCATAACTGTATCATAAACACAATGATAAACATTTATAAGCTAATTTTTGTTTACTTTGACTTCTAGCCAGAAGTCATCATGTCTATAACTAATTCAACTTTGGAATACACACTAGACTTTTTTAAGAATTTTCTAGCTTACACCTTGATTTATAATAACTGTTTGAATTTTTCATGTATACTCCAATAAATAACTGAAGAATAATTGGAATTTCTAATAGTTTAGTTTGGATAAGGCAAAATTGCTGTTATGAAAAATTTGGAGTAGCTTAATCGAATTTAAAATGCAAATGGTTGATCATTTAGTCTTACTTCTGAGGGACTATATAAAGAATGTAGTTTTTGAAAATATAATAGGCCTAACTCTAATGTCTTATGACTAGTGTAATAATAAACTGATAAATTTATTGTACCATAAAGTGTAATTTTGTTTACCAATTGCATGCCCATCCTTGCTGGTTTGCACCCTTACATTTATTCATGGATAACCCATGCTGTTAATAGCGTCTATTGTATTTAAGGTGACTGATCCAACTATTTAGATGTCTTGATAATCCAGACAAATTAGTTTATTAACTCTCTCAACACAGGGTCAGTCAATTTAACCGATTCATGTGACCTTTTGTACTCATTTAAAGTTGACATAAATTTAACACTTGTAACTCTCTATATATTGGGTATATCTTCACAAAATTTGGCAGTCTTTCAGTTAATATTACAAGTTTTTCACATACAAAAAGTCATATTTCTTAGTGAAGTATTTTTAATAAAATAAAATAAAGTTTTGTCCATGAATATATTGAGTATTTCTTTTGAATAGTCTGTGTGAAAAGTAATTTTCATGTTAAAATTAAAAATACTTATCGTCTTCTCAAAAATCTCACATTTCCTTGGTATTATTCCTAAAACCTCCTACATGCATTTCAAACGTTTTTTCACTAAATCCTTATAGTTTATATGTTATTTTCTCTACCCTATCTCAAAACAGGATTGGTCAATTCGACCGACCTCGTAACCCCCAAAAAAAAAAAAATCAAAATAAACCTAAATTAACCTTCT